TGTGATGGTTTGTTTGGTATTGGTATCAGGGTAAATACTGACCTCATATGATGAACTGGGAAATGTCCCATGATCTTCTATTTTTTAGAAGAGTCTATCAAGAATTGCTACTGATTCTACTTTAAATGTTTGGTGGAATTTGCCAGTGATGCCATCTGTACCTGGATTTTCCTTTGTGGGTAGTTTTTTTTTATTACTGCTTAAATCTTTTCACTCAATATATGGGTCTATTCAGATGTCTATTCACAAATCAGTTACCATAGTTTGTGTTTTTCTTTGAGTTTGTCCATTTTATCTGTTAAACAATTTGTTGCTATATAATTGTTCAAGTATTCCTTTATAATAATTTCTATTTCTTTAGGGTCAAGTAATGTCCCTCTTTCACTTCTGATTCTAGTAATTTGAGCCTTTTTTTCTTGTCAGTCTAACTAAAGATGCGTCAATTCTGTCTACAAATTTGCTTCTTCCTTCTGCCAGTTCGAATCTACAGGAAAGCCTCTGTAGCGAATTTATTCCAGTTATTTTACTTTTCAATTCTATAATATTTGGTTCATTTTTTAATAATTTCTCTGTCTTTACTGATATTCTCTATTTGATGTGACATTGTATCATAATCTTTCTTTACTACTTTCATTGTGAGTTCCTTTATTTCTGTCATATGTTTACAACGGCCACTTTAGTCTTTCTCTGATGAACCTGACACCTGGTCTCTCTCGTGGGCAGTTTCTTGGCCTGGTTTTCCCCCAGTGTTTGGGTCAGACCTTCCTGTTTCTTTGCATGCCTTGTAGTTTTTGTTGCTGGAAACTAGACATCTCAGATAACATACTGCAGCACCTCTGGGTATTGGTACATCTCCTCTGGTTCATGTTATTGTTATTTGCTTATTCATTTGCTCAGTGACTAGCTGGGTTGCTTTTGTGAAGTTTAACCCCCATACATAGTGTTCAGCTTCTGATGTTGTTCCTCTGGGAGGCCCAGCTTCAGTTTACCCTCAGTCACCCTCAGATCACTGGGTCACCATGACCAGGCAGGGCTCCCCTCCTGTCTTTCCGTGACCACACCTAGCTGTTAAGCTCCAATAACTGCTGGCTGGTTACTCTATTGTTTTCAACAATATCCTAGGGCACACGTCAGTTTATAAACAGTCCTATTAAATTCCAGTTCTTCTGAAGGAATAGTTTCTGAGATTAGTGTTCTGACCTCAGGAAGGCTCTTGTGATGTTTTATTCCCTGGTTCTCTCCTGCAAACTAGCTAGTCTACGGTTTAGTCTGCCTTTTGAATCTCCTCTCAAATGCCTTTCATCACAGCCTCCACTTTTTGTGTGAGTGTCTGCAGGCTTATACTTCTTCATTCTCTGTTGCAAATGAAGTCACCTCCTTTGGGAAGAAATTAGGACCTATTGGTTATTTTCTTGTCAGTCTAACTAAAGATGCGTCAATTCTGTCTACAAATTTGCTTCTTCCTTCTGCCAGTTCGAATCTACAGGAAAGCCTCTGTAGCGAATTTATTCCAGTTATTTTGCTTTTCAATTCTATAATATTTGGTTCATTTTTTAATAATTTCTCTGTCTTTACTGATATTCTCTATTTGATGTGACATTGTATCATAATCTTTCTTTACTACTTTCATTGTGAGTTCCTTTATTTCTGTCATATGTTTACAACGGCCACTTTAGTCTTTCTCTGATGAACCTGACACCTGGTCTCTCTCGTGGGCAGTTTCTTGGCCTGGTTTTCCCCCAGTGTTTGGGTCAGACCTTCCTGTTTCTTTGCATGCCTTGTAGTTTTTGTTGCTGGAAACTAGACATCTCAGATAACATACTGCAGCACCTCTGGGTATTGGTACATCTCCTCTGGTTCATGTTATTGTTATTTGCTTATTCATTTGCTCAGTGACTAGCTGGGTTGCTTTTGTGAAGTTTAACCCCCATACATAGTGTTCAGCTTCTGATGTTGTTCCTCTGGGAGGCCCAGCTTCAGTTTACCCTCAGTCACCCTCAGATCACTGGGTCACCATGACCAGGCAGGGCTCCCCTCCTGTCTTTCCGTGACCACACCTAGCTGTTAAGCTCCAATAACTGCTGGCTGGTTACTCTATTGTTTTCAACAATATCCTAGGGCACACGTCAGTTTATAAACAGTCCTATTAAATTCCAGTTCTTCTGAAGGAATAGTTTCTGAGATTAGTGTTCTGACCTCAGGAAGGCTCTTGTGATGTTTTATTCCCTGGTTCTCTCCTGCAAACTAGCTAGTCTACGGTTTAGTCTGCCTTTTGAATCTCCTCTCAAATGCCTTTCATCACAGCCTCCACTTTTTGTGTGAGTGTCTGCAGGCTTATACTTCTTCATTCTCTGTTGCAAATGAAGTCACCTCCTTTGGGAAGAAATTAGGACCTATTGGTTATATGATCTGTGATTAGAGCTGAAGCCAGGTGTGGACACACTGCAAAGTTCTCCCTGAGTGACACTGCTATTATAAGAGCTGACAGCTCAGTGGAGGAAGAGGGTACACAGTCTGGGATCGTCTCAACTTGTCTCTCCTGGGATGGGACCACCAATTTACAATCCAAGGCAAGAGTGATCTGGGCCCCAGCATTTTCAGCATGCTACCCCCGAATTCCATAAACAGGGGCTGGGCAGAAGGGAGCCCCACTTCTAACTGCACTCACCCACGTCCTAGCAGCAGCAATGGCCAGTTAGTGGCAGGATAAGAAATGCCAAGGTCTGTTCCCCCAAGAAGAACGCTGTCAGTCTAGGTCAAGTAGGGCTGTGGGGCGGGGGAGGTTCTGTGTCCTTAGCTGCAATAGTCTTGAGTGGAATCTCTACTTCACTCAGCTGGCAAGGATGGAGGGAGGTGTACTGGTTTAAAACCCACAGACTCACTTCTCACCAAATTTTCACAGAGTTCTTGAATAAATATTTCTTCATTTGTGGTTCACCCTTAGGACCATTCCCTGAGGTTTTAAATGACTGTGGTTTGGGGTTTTTTCACCATTTTCACCAGTTTCACTGGCAAGCCGGTCAGCAGAGCATCACTGGCAGGTATCATGGTGGGAGTCGATCTGCCATTTGTTCTTCAACATGGAGATGAAGGAAGCCAAGTGCACAGTATGTATGTGTGGGTAAAACTGCAATAGTTCCAGAGTCTCTCGCCTGGCCTTGTGCATCTCCACATCAGTAGTTGTTTCCAAGGGTGGAGAGAAGTGATCCACATCCATATTGATAGGTGATTACAAGGGTGGGGGAAGCGAGGCTATAACTCGGCCAGAGAAGTTTGGTGGGGTCCCGTTTTGCAGCTGGGTGGTGAGAGACACGGGCGAGCAGAAGTGGACGGCTGCTTGTAAGCAATGAACGGGTTTCTCCAACTTTATTTCTCCCTTTGACTGATTTCGGTTTCAGAGGTAATTTGCCCCGGACTGGGAGAAAGATTTTCCCCCTTGGAGTTACAGTATGTATGTAGGTCTTTGGATGCTATCTTGTTTAATATTCACAACTTTGAGGCAGATATTATAGGTCTGACTTTTACAGACAATGAAACTTGAGTCCCAGAGTCATTTAGTAACTTGCTCCAAGTAAAACAGGAAATAGGTTCAAAGATCTGATTCAAAACCAGGTCTAACTGCCTCCAAAGCTCATCATCTGGATTGAGTCTATCCTTCCATCTTTTACTCAGATACTTTTAAAAATCAGAGTTCATGAGACAGTCACATCCTTCTGCAGTCACAGTGATCACTCTAGGAAATACAGGCGTCATTTTCTTCCTCATCTGGATTTCTGGTAATAATACTGTGAGAAGCACTATTTTGTTTCCTCATGCCTTAAGCTACATTCCCACAAGGAATCTGTGACCAGAGGATTATTGTCTTTACTGTACTTTAAAATCTGTTTTCCTAAAGAGCAAGGTAGATCTGATGTGCAATGTCTTTGATTACTATGAACATTAATATGACTGAGGTCTCTTTTCTCCCAAGATTACCATTGTGTATAAGCACATATACAAAGCTAATTAAAAATATTATGAAATGATGATACCTTCTTTAAAAAAAGACTCATACTTATCTTGAGGATTCTTACACACAAAATTATAAGATTTCTGGGGAAAGTCTGATGGACAGTTACAACTGACCAGTCATCAATAGGAAAATTCCACTCTAAAAGTGATTTCATACTTTTAAATTAGTGTCAATATTTTAAAAATTAAAAAATTCTTACTATTCAGATTTAAAGCAAACAAAACCTCCAAAAAACAAGAAACTAGATAAACCTAAAGTATATAAGAAACCTTTCTCTGTAGTTCCTTGTCAAAAGGAAAAAAAATATTTAATAGAAAGATATGTCAATCTAGATTTGAAAGTTCAGCTGTTACCTCTCTCTACCTGGCTCCACTTATCTCATCTCTATTACCAAAACAATTTCTGACCCATTTTTACCACCTCAGAAAGTCAGATTTCCTGGTAACAGAGAATCCTGCTTAAGGCTGATGTTGTGCTAAGCTAAGTGTTAGAAAATAAAATAGCTACTGAGGACAAAACCTCCAAAATTACAGGAATCATCACAGGAACTGTGAACGCACAGGAAGGGATACAGTCACATGTTCCATTCAAACAAAGTTCAAAGAAAGCATTAGAGTGACATCGTTTGCTCCAAGTGCCTCTTTCTCACACAAGAGGCCCACAGCCTATGGGCAGTCTGCCACACGGGCCACCCCAAGGAGGATCTGGCAATGGCAAAGACCACGAGTCGCATGCTCAGAAGGGCACGTCCGGAGTCTTTAATCTCAACTGCCAACACCTGATTGAAATACACAAAACACCTTTGCTAAGGAAACAAAGATGGTGAAAGGGCTTCAATAAGTGCATCAAAAACAATTAGAATTACCTTGCTGATAGAAAATGACAGCACCGAGTGATAGCTGCTCAAGTGACAAAGGCACTGAGCAGTCTTTTCAGGGTCACCACCACAGGCCCAGCAACTTTTACAGAAAGCAGTAAGTGTACTTACCAAATATTTCCCCTCCACTAGCATATTCTGTCACCAGATAAATCATCCGTTCTGTCTCCATAACCTGGTACAAAGGCAGGAAAGCAACAGTGACACAAATGACAGGCTGATATCATAAGAAGAGAAACTAATGACTACTCTTTCGTCATCTGAAATGCTAATAACCATTGCTGCTCAGAGAAAACTCACACCACGGGGCAGGGCACACAGGTAACATGCTGGTCAGAAGAAAGGGGAAAACGTTTTCCTCCGAGGTTGTACAGGGAGGAAAGCCTGACTCCCTGGGACAGTCATTCTGCTGCTCCACATGACCGCGGCAATGCCTTAAGCTCTGCAAAACTGGGGAGCAAAGACTCCGCCAGGAACCCAAAACTTCCCATTTAACACTCAACACTTGAAGCTTAAAAATATCCCCCTACAGGCCCAATGAAAGTAAAAAAAGTCTTAGAGAAAACAATGGCAATCACTTAAGAACTGCTCGGGAATCACATGCGGCTGTGTTTTTTTAAAAAATAGAAATGACAACTTTCCTTTCCACTATCCATTTATTCAAAAAAGGGGAAATGATGTAATACTCAACCCTTCAAGTATGTAAATCACGCCTTTGCATTTTGTCTTAGTCTCTATTTTGCTGCCTTCTTTTATTAGTTGTATGTTGTCCCTTCTTCCTTTTTACCTTTACTGTTAAATTCGGTAATATATGAGTATATACACTCATTATAAATATTTTACATGCCTGGTATATAAACACAGACAAAGGTTTTCCTCTTCACCACCCCTTCCATCTTCTTCCCCAGAGGAAGGGCCCTTCACAGCCTGTCCCCCACCATCCCAGAGCCGGGCTCTCCAACAGAAACACAGTATGAGCTGTATATGTAATTTTAACTTTTCTGGTAGCCACATTGAAAGGGTAAAAAAAAAAAGGTGAAATTGATTCTAATAATAGATTTTATTTATGATTCTAATAATAGATTTTACCTCAATCTGCCCAAAATATTATCACTTCAAAAAACTAACTGTAAATGGTTATTTATAAAAATTAAATAAAATTAAAAATTCAGGTCCTCATTCACTCTAGCCACATTTTAATGCTCAATAGCCATGTGTGGCTAGTAGCTATCAGATTGAGCAAAACAGTTCTAGACTCTCATTACATTTCACAGTTATTTTGTTAAATCATTTTTCTCCACTTACTTTGACATCTTTATACATTAATACAATATAATACTACTATGGATTACATTATAGTCATAGCTCTACATGTGCTTTTCTATGACTTCAAGGCACTTCATTGTAGGAGCACACATTAATTTAATCATCCTTTCTAGTAATGGCATTCTTTTTTTTCTCTTTAATTTTTAAAAAATTCTTTATATACCAGTGATATTGGCCCATTGTTGGTTATATGTATTGCTTCCAAGCTCTTACTCTACGTATAAGAAGTGCTCTAAATATACACAGGTGTTCAGGGGGGAAAAAAAGGAAAAAAACATCATATTGTCTATCTCCTTTGTACCTCCAGGCCTTTTATTATTAAACTTCTCTATAGCCCAGCGACCTTCCCATACGGTCACCTGCATCTGCCTCACTCTGTAAACTCAGCGGACTGAAGCCTTGGCCAGCAACCGGACCACCGCTTCCCTGCTGCTAGTAGAGACACGTGGACAGCCACGCTCCTCGGCCGCTCAGGGCCCCCCTGGCCAGCACTGGCTGCTGGGAGCAAAACTAAAGCTTAGAAGAGGGCACTTATTCCAAGCCAGGCCTGAAAGTATGGAATTCTTACAGGCTAATGAAATCTTAGGCAAGAAAGGTGAACTTGGAGAATTCAGTTATAAGGTTAATACCTACAAGTTAACCTTTTGAGAAAGGCCAGCCTAATAAGCCCCACAATTTTTTCAAGATGGTTATTTTGCAAAGTGGTTTCAAGAAGTTTACTCAGTCTATCAGGACAGGAAGGAGGCAGAGCCGGCCGCCTCCGAGTTGGCACATACAATTCTTCAGGAATGCCAGGAGGCCTTCATAGGTTTGCTTTTGGGGCACAGGGCACATGTGCCTCGAAGTAACTTTGAGAAACTTCAGCAAGTCTGCTGATGTGATTCATTTCACTATGTGAGCAGCCGATGCCCGGGAAGAGCCCTAAAGCTACTGCCCTAACCACACATACTAACATCGCCACATGCTTTCTTGTCCATAGAATTAACAAACCATGAAAGCTTGCCCACTGGGCCCTGGATATGGCACATGGGCTGATGTCCAGGCCAGTGACCAACGGCAGCAAGTGGATGGAGTGGGGGGGTCACTTCCTGCACAATGAGGTGCTAGTGGGTCTGCAGGAAGCAGAGAGCAAGGCAGGCCCATGCAGAGGTGGACCTCACAGCTGCCAACACACTGCGCTGTGACTGGCACCCCGACGCCCCATCTCTCCCAAAGTCTCTCTTCCACCAGCCTGCTAAGGCAGCCTCCTCCTGTCTGGCTTGAAATCCCAGCCATTAGACTTACTGCTTTTGCAGTAAAGCTAGGGAATTACTTTCGATGATGGTCTGAAACGTGCATGTTTCATGGGAAAGTAAGCTAACTAGAAGAGAAATCTCTTCCACGACACAAAAATAAACTCTTGGGTATCAAAATAATCAAACGCTATTTTCGAAAACGAAGTCTAAGTCCCTACAGAACAGAAAGCAGGTAGACGCTGACTGATACAAGGAACTTAAAATATCCCTCATCATTACAATTCACATGATCACAGAAATTAAGATTTAAAGAATATCATAAAAATAATGTTATATTCATCTCTAGCTTTTCATCTCTCCTAATTCTCTGTTCCATTTGGGTTTCCCATTCTGCTTTAGGATTCTGACCTAAGTAAGTTGTCATTATCATCTGAGCCATCTTTTTGTATAATTCTCACTAAAAGTGTCATCCAAATTTTAAAGGGTAAATTAAAAAGGCCTACCTGGGTAAGACAGACCTCCTTAGTAAACAGCCAGGAAAAACACAGGTGCTAACGGGGGAGCAGAAGGATGAACACAGAAACAAACACCACAACGGAATTGCGGATGTTCTCCCAATAACCTTTCTTCAGAGACAGCTATGGACACACGTGACCCCCCGGGGCGCCTCCTCGCCCCGCGCTACCCCAGCAGGGGCCCTACCTGGTAAAGCCTGATGATATGTGGGTGGCAAAGCATCTTCATGATCTGAACTTCCCGGAAGATCTTCTTCAAGTTGTCTTCATCCAGCTGCGTCTTATCTATGATCTTGATGGCAACCTGACAACAGAGGAAGAAAACAGACTCTGAGGCATTATTAAAGGCAGTTTACAAAGGAAAATTAAATCCACTTTAAAACATTATAGTCCACAAAAACGAGCTGCCAGTATTTGGTTTACAGAATGTAAAAATGAAAAAAATGGATTTACTCTTTTTAAAAAGATAGCAAATGGACTCTTCCTAGCAAGCTGGTCTCACAGGAACAGACTCCAGAAGCTAATGGGTCTTCTGCTGTTCCGTAAATCGCTCCCACAGTAAAGCCCCATGACAAAATACTTCATTAGTCCACCGATGTGGTTACGGTCTGGGCAAGTCACGCTTTGATGCACAGAATGGTGCGTAGGGCCTCTTATGAAGGCAAGAACCTTACATCAGAGGTACATGATGGCTTTAGCAGGGGTCACCAGAAACTCCACAGGTGTGCTCCACACCTCACCAGGTGTGTATCCAACTTAGTACCAGCACTGGTGGTGGGGGCAGCAGTTACTATGTACTGTACACTTACGTGTGGCCAGGCAAAATCCTTAGCGCTCTGCAAGTCCTGAGTCATTTACACATCATCACCCCATATTATCACTAACCTTGTTTTATAAATACAGGAACTGAAGGCATACACAGACGTAAGTATTTTACCCAAGATTAAGTAAGTTATAGCTAGATTGAAGCCCACGTAGCTTGGCTTTTGAGCCAAACTCTTAAATGAAACACTGTAAAAACCTGAACATCTTTCTGTATTGTATGTACACTGCGTCAGCATAAACACCTATTTTGCTCCTTCCCCTTAAAATATGAGCACCTAGAAGCACACACATTTGAAAACAAAATGAAAGATGGATGTCTTTTATAGCTGCTAAATCTAAACTTCCTCATTATTCTCAGTTAAAAACTCAAAATACTGTGTCGTCCCCAAATATCTTTATATCTGAGTTTCAGTTAATCAATCAGTATGTGATTAACAAATATGAATAGACCAGGACTAGGTACATTCTAGCCCCTTAGAATCCTTAAAATCCTACGGTTCTATGCACTGGGGGAGGGAAAGGAAACTTACTGAGGAAAAGAGGGAAGCCAGGGAGCTAAATGCCAACAATTTGTTTCTAGCCTGAGAAACAGACTGCGTGGGACTCCACATGGCAGAGGATCCGAACACATGAATGAACAGCACAGAAGTAAGTGGGTCTGCAGTTCCTGCGGATGTTAGAATAGGGACAAACAGGAGAAAGGCACAGGGACATAGTTTCAGATTCATTCAGAGCATTCAGCCCTGCCTGATGGTGGAATGGGATAAAGTGGACTGCAGAGATTGATCGGACACAGCCTCAGCTTCAAGGAGCTCACAGTCTAGTAGCGAAAAGACTCAGGGGAACGGACACCAATACGGCCCTGGAAGCACAACCAATCAAGCTCTATACATGGTCTGATTTTGGTACAGAGGATGGAGCACGACCCGCACCTGAGGGGGAAAGACTTCACAAAGAAGGCGGGACATGGGAAAAGGAAGGTTTGCTGACAGGCAGAAAAGAGGGTGGGGCATTTGAGGAGGACAAACAGGGTCATTAGCAAGTTTCATTAACAAATCTCACCAACTGTTTGACTCCCACAAGAAGCCTTGAACCATGTGACCTGGCCACTAGCCTTTCTCCTGCTCGCCACTGTGCCAGCTCACACACAGGATCTTAGCTCTGGCAGCTGGTCCAGCATCTGCACCTGGTTCTCTAACAGCTCCCGAAACGAAAAAACCACAGTACATAATGTTCTTTTATAGAACAAATATCTGGGTCTTAACAGGAATTAATTGGTAATAAAGTCAATTAGCACATTGTGGTTTAGAGTGCTATCATAGACCCAGGAGCTTAGAAACTTGCAGACATGCCCACAGCAGAGCTTCCCAACTGGTGTGCAAGAGATGAGATACAGGTACACCCAAGGTCATGGGCAGGTGCATCACCTCTGGCCTCAAGGAACCTCATCATTCCCAGGAAAAATATTACCCTTTTCTGTGTTTGCCACAATGCACAAAAGGCTGGGAAGCACTACTAGCATTTGCTGATCATCAGCGATCAAGGTCTGGGCCTGAAATCCCCCATTCTACCCAGGCCTAATAATGGGTGGCCTAGAAAAAGTAATGGGGATGAGGGGGGGAGTGCAGAATAAGGGCTTCAACACATTTGACCACATTTTTCCACCTTTTTTTTTAATTTTAGTATTGCTGATACACAATCTTATACTGGTTTCAAATATACAGCACAGCAGTTCAGCAGCTCCCCATAATATTAAATCCTCACCCCGTCCAGGGTGGTCCATCACCTTTCACTCCCATGAGAGTCCTGGGCCACACCGAAACCGGGCGATCATTCAGCAGGGCCTTCTGATTCAGGGCTCGCTCTACATTGCATTTACATTCGACGCAACAAGACTTTTCATACAGATAAGAGAAAACCGATCTAATCATCTATGAGAACAAAGTTAGCTATTAAGATCTTATATACTATGGACTTAATATTTTTGACGTAATAAAGATAACGATATATGAATGTAGCTTTTACATTTCATAGCAAGTATATCTGACTTCACATATATATATTAATGTATATGATGCTACACACTGAAAAATGCCTTCTTATCTTTTCAGGAAAAATTGTATTAAGTATAATCTGTTCTTAGAAGGCAGACACAGAGAAGTTTCAATAGACTGAAACATCAAATTCCTGTTTACTCTTCAGTGAGATTCAAGAATCAACAAGACATGGGGAGGCAAGGCTTTGGTTTAGTGTCAAAAGGAAGGACTCTGGGGCCAAGCTGCCTAGGTTCAAAATCTTGGCATTATCCCTTAATATGTCATCTTGAGCAAACTATTTAATTCTACGAAATACTCCGTATCTGTAAAACGTGGGTGACCACAGTACCTCTTTTATGAGTTGCTGGCGACTATAATGTGTACGACTCACTCAGTGCGCCTGACGTGCAGCAAACATGAAACACAGATTAACTGTAGGCAGTGCTCTTGTCCTGTTCTGCTCTTTCTGGAATCAAGCCTTAAACTTTAGGCCTTCCGTGGCGAGGATTAGTTTAGCTTCACTAGGCAACATAATCCTGGATCTGAAACACATCAGTTCCTTACTCCAGGGGGGTTAGCTGGAGGCCCAAGAAGCGAAATAGCCAACAATTTGTGGGCAGTATTCAGAACCGACTGGCTGCTTCCAGCTGATGTGGAAAGAACGCGGAGGAGAGGAGGCAGGGGAAACGCGCGCCGCGCGGCAGGGGCGGCGGGCCCCGTCCATCCACACTCGGAAGCCAACACCAGAGCCGAGGGGCTTCGGCCCGCTCACTCGGCACACGTGCCGGACGGGACCACTGAGTGGAGGAGGCAACTTCCTAGGCTCCTACCTTAGCCAAGAAAAGCAAAAAGAAGGAAACTATTGGGGAAGCAAAGAAACTAAGTCAGAGGGCAGGTCATTGGCAAGCAGGTAAGACTATTTTGAGGATACCTGAGGCGATCAGTGGTCATGAATTTCCACTGCCACAGATTATTAGAGGCTATATAATAACAGTTTACGCTGAAGTACACACCAGTTGCTTGAAAAACTGAATGGGTCCATAGCAAAAGGTAAATGCTAAGTAAATGGAAGATAAACTCAAAGAATGTTTTTAGTTTGGTGCTGAAACTCTATTAATTACATATTTGCACATACCCATGAAAAAAGCACAACGAGAAGGAACTTCCAACACTTTACAAGAGACCATATATTACTTAAGTTTGCCTGTTAACATAGAATCCTTTTATCTTGCAAAGAGCATGATTTTATGAATTGGCCCTAATATTAAACCTGCATTGTATTAAATATGTTGCTAAGGAGATACAAAATTGCAAAAGTCCTTAAGAATTTTCTTACCCAAGATATTTCCATTTATCAAACTCTTTTATAATTGGCATGTGGTGCAAAGAAGAAAAAGTTAAACTCACATTGTGCCAATGTAAAGTCATAGTTCTTTCTTATTCATTCTAGAAAGGGGAAAATAGCCATTTCCCCCTTTTAGTTCTTATTTGTAAACCACAGTTCCTTTAACTCTTACTTCATTTCGGCAGCACTGTAATGTTCACAGGGAATGAAGGTGAAAAAAACAGTGGTTTCTTCACAACAGGCAATAATTCACTTGCATATCCTGACAGGACATTCGCAGGCAAGATAAGGTGACAGAATAAAAACCAACGAGCCAAGGGAACGCTCCATATGCAGATGAAAGCCACCCTTCCTCTTCACGAGCAGCAGCGAGCAGGGCTCTGCGCGCAGGGATGCGCTATGACAAATGGAAGAAAATGGAAGCCCACAGTGCTGCAATGCCTCCAAAAAGAGAGGGACTGCTCCCTTCAACTAGCATGCTGATGCATGCATGATAATTTCACAGAATACAGTAAACAGACAGAATGCTTGTACCAAGGGAAGAGAAAACATTACAACCATGTGGAGAAAAGTTTGTGTTTTCACTATTCTTTTAAGGAAAGAAGCTCTACTTCTCATTGAACGTCCTAAAATTGGGCAGGCACCAAACATTTCGCCATTGCTTATTACTTTCAGTGGGGTTGCTTTTTTATTACCTTCTGTAGCTCAATTTTTATTCTCTATTTGCATGACAAAGCTTATCTATCCTAATCATTCTCAGCTCAGGATCCAGAATCGTTTTATGGTCTAGATCTGTCCTGTCCAATACATAGGCACCAGCCACATGTGCTTATAGAGCACCCGAAATGTGGGTGGTCCAAATGGATGCATGTAAATATACAATACACACCAGATTTCAAAGACTTAATGCTAAAAACAGAATGTAAACTACCTCATCGATAACCTTTATATGGATTACATGCAGAAATATTATTTATTTATTTATTTATTTATTTATTTACACTTCTAGTTTCATACCATTGTGGTCTGAGAAGCTGGTTGATACAATTTCAATCTTTCTGAATTTATTGAGGCTCTTCTTGCAGCCTCGTATGTGAT